GTGCCCGGTCGCGGTTGTGTGTCCCCCCGCGCCCTGTCGGGAAAGCAGGCAGGCAGGCAAGCTATAAATTTAAACCTTTCATAAATGAGTTTCTTACTAATGAAAAACCTGTGGTCATTTCTAGCTCCTCCAGGGCACCAACATCCTCAAAAGAATCGGATTGAGATTGTACTTGCTGTTGTTTTTGTGGTCATCTTTATCCTGATGTTCTTCATATTGGCAAAAAAATATTACAAGAAGCAGAACCAGGCTAACAGGTGATGAGTGTATTTGTCCTGTCTGAAGATCACCATGTAAAATGTGTTTTTAATGAGCATACCAGATGAGGGGTAGCTCGGTGTCACATAGCATGCACAAGCCAAGTTCAGTCTCCAGCACTGAAGAAAATGGTTTTACATGAGAATATGAAACAATGGGTGAAACAATGGGTTTTGTTTTGATGCTCACACATGCAAATGCTGTACTTTGCATATGTTCAGCTCCCCATTGTCACCTCCTGTCTCCCCCAACACACACACACACACACACACACACACACACACACACAAACACAAGTTACCCTCTGTCTTCTTGATAACTCTTCTACCCTCAGACATGATAGCTAGATATAGATTCTGCATGACAGAAAACACGTAACAGTTGTCTTTCTGAGTCTGGATTAGTTTACTTAGCATGATAATCTCTATTCATTTACTTGAAGGTGATATAATTATGTTCTTAACAATGACTCGATGAAAATGTATAGTATGTATGTATGTATGTATGTATGTATGCATGTATCTCATTCTTTTTACTCATTTATCTGTTGATAGTTCTGTATTTTGGCTACTGTGAATAGTGACATAATAAACATGGTCTATGTGTCAATATCTTTGTGGTATATAGACTTAGAATTCTTCAGTTATAGACACAGGGACAGTATAGCTGTGTCATATGGCAGCTCTATTTTTAGGCTTTCAAGTAACCTCCATACTAGTAGGCACCCTAATACGCATTTCCACAGTGTAAACATTTTCTTTTTCTTGTATCTTTTCTGTCATTTTCCCTCTAATGACAGCCATTGTTGACTGAGGTGCCATAGGAGAGTGTTGTAGTTTTGACCTATATTTCCTTAATGGCTAAGGATATTAAGTAGTATAGGGGGTGTTTATTTATTGGCTATTAGACCTTTGAAAAATGACTGTCCAATTCATTTGTTAATTGGGTGCTTTGGGGGTTTCTTTTGGGGTTGGATTTTTAAGTTTTTATTTATTGTTTTTGAAAATCTCCTACATGGACACAACACAATGTTTCTTAATCATATTCACTTTTCAGACCCTAACCTCCATTCTCCCAGCCTCTTCTCATTAGTCCCACAAAGGTCTGTCCTTTTTAACATGTATTTACTTATTTAACCCATCGAGTCCGACTAGAGCTGCCCATATACACAGAGCCATGTGTCATCCACTCGTACATGGACGACTGTGCAGTGCCATGTTTCTAAAAATAAATAACTCTCCCTTCACAGCAGCCACCAAGTGTCAATATCTTCTCAAGTAGGGGTGTAGTGTGGGCTCCCAAGGCCCTCCCCTATCAGTGATGGCAATTTTGACTGGTTTGACCTTTTAGAGATCTTGTGTAGGTCATCACAGCTGCTGCCATCTGTATGTACAACAGCCATGCCACATCCAGAAGACAGAATTTGGCAGCACTCTTCTCCATCTCCTGGCTCTTACATTCTTTGCCCCATCTTCTGTGATGGTCCCTGAGCCTTGGGATAGGGATGTGGTGGTAGATATAGATGTCTCATTGATGGCTAAACAAAGTCACTTATTTCCAGCACTTTGAACAACAGCATGACTGCACTAGTCACTACCCACTCCAACAACAAACGTCTCTGGCCAACGTTGAGAGCAATATAAGTCTATGGATGTAAATATAACCATTTAATAGAATGAGGTCAGTAGATTCCCTCCTAGGGTCTGTGACTTCTTCCATCCAGTTCACAGTACTAGACATGAAGTTACCCTTGCAAAACAGACCTCAAATCCCATCGATAGACCAGTTGGTAATCTCCATAAAATCTGGTTACAGTTTGTGCTAGTGGGCATATTTGGTCTGGAAAGTGGGTGTTGTAACATGCAGGAACCAGTTCTAGATAAGACCATTCATGGCTTTTCTCTCTGAGCAGCCTTTCCAGTACCTTCTAGCACTATGAAAGCTGTCTAGAGAGGCAGGGAGTGTCCTAGGCAGTTCATTAATTTCTCTGTGACTTGAAACCACGGTATGTTGTGTCTGCAGCAATAGAATTTTACTATCCAGTTTGAATGAGCAACTGTGAGCAAGAGCAATGACCTGTATTGTTTTGGATGTTCTTGGGCCTCTCTGACACATTTCTTTATTTCATTCAGCTTTTTGCTGTTTATTTTTTTTCTCTCCTAAAGTTTATTCACATTCTCTATGTCTTGTCCGAACATAGCTATAATCACTGGACTTCCTTGTGTGCAAATTCTTTAGGCTGTTTTCATTAGAGGCATATCTACTAGAGGATTAGGGATTTGGGAATAAGATGTGTAGTCTTGGGTTTGGTTGTTTTATGTGCGTGTGTGTGTGTGCGTGTGCGTGTGTGTGCACACACACATTGCTTTCTTTTTTTTTCTGTACTGGGTGGGTCTTACATATGCAAAGTGGTCTGTTGATTGACATGCCCTCCTGCTTTATTTCCTTCTTGCTATTTTATTTTTTATTGTTGTTACTGTTGTTGTTCAGGTCACCTTTCTTTTTCAATGGAGGTGTTAACAATGTTCAGGGGGAGCCAGGTTTCCCTACTTAGTTCAGGTGATGGTGAAGCCTGTGTTCCTGGAGGAAAAAAAAAACACCAAAAAACACCAAAAAACTGGGGTGGGTGGGGGTGGGTGGGGGGTTGGGGGGTTGGTCTTTGTGTATTTTCTATGTAACTGTCCTGTTCCATGAGCAGTTGGTAAGGATTTTCTCCCTGTTGTTGGCTTCACTCTTCAGCAGAGGTTTGCTTTTGTGCAGCTCCATTTGTCACATCATGCTGTTATTTCCTGAGTTAGGGGAGTTCTTTCCAAAAGTCCTCGCCTGGCCCTGAGTGTTTACCCTATTCGTTCCTCTAAAGGGTCCAAGATGGCAGTTTGTTTTCATTAAGATCGTCACCCATTTTAAGTAGAGTTTTCTTTACAAGGTGCGAAATCGAGATCTAGTTGTGACCAATATGAGGATATCTAGTTCTCTGGGCATCATTTATTCTCTTCTAATGAAAATGTTTTTGGCACATTTGTAAAAAAAAAAAAAAATTGGCTTATAGCTGCATGGGCTAATTTCTGAGACCTTTATTCTATCCCATTGGCCTATCTGTCTAGTTTTGTGCCAGTATCATGCTGGTTCTGTAACTGTGCCTACACAATACGACTTGAGCTCAGATATGGTGATGTGTCTCAGCTCTGTGGGATCTTTTCTATATCAATTTTATGAATTTCTTAGTATTTATATGAGGATGTCATTGAAGTTTAATGAGATGGAATGGAATCTGTACAGTGCTTTTGGTAATATATCCATTTTCCAGCCTGCCTGTGAGCACAGAAGTTTCTCCTTCTTCTAGTACCTTCAGTTCTTTTTCTTTTCAGTGCTTTTCTGTTCTCATTTTGAGGTCCTTCACCCTCTGAGTTAGGCATATACCTGGGTTTGTTGTTGTTGATTGGTTTGGGGTTTTGTTATTGTTTATTTGTTTGTTTGTTGTTTTTGCTAGTGCCAGTTGAACTCAATATGTAGACCAGGCTGGCCTCGAAGTCACAGAGGTCCACTTGCCTCTGTCTCCCAAGTGCTGGGATCAAAGGCATGGTACTTGTCACTGCTTTTCCACATGCTAGCAGGCTCATGAACCTATGAGGATTCTCCTGTTGCCAGCTTCCAGCTCCCCACAGAAGCAGTGGGATTGCAGATTCTCCTCCTACTTATCTCTGTTTTACATTGGTTCCAGCATTTGAACTTGGGTCCTGGTGCTTGTGCAGCAAGCACTTTTACCCCCTGAGCCCTCTCCTGAGCCCCTAATGCTCCTCCTCAAGTCTTACCTACCTTGTCTAGTCTAGTGACTTTCCATGGGATGTTTTAAATTCAATCCATTGGATTTCCATTTCCAGCATTTCAGTTCATTTTCTTTCTCAAAATCTGTTGTTCGTTGAGTTTTTTATGTATGCTGTTGGCTTTCTTATCCATGTCCTGAATTTGTTTCCTTAAATAATTTGTTTAGTTGTTTATGACTTCTTAGAGGTCATTAATTGTTTTATAAGTAGGCTTTTCGATTATTTGCCCAAAATATCTTTGTGTTCACAAGTTAAAGAGTTATGATCTTTTAGGGGCACCATGTTACCTTCTTTTAACTTATTTCTTTTGCTTCTGGGTGCGGTGTAAAATCCATTGAGATGTATGTCACTTCTGCTTTTATTTGGGTATCTGCTTGGTGTGTAGCTTTCTCTCGATGGCTCAGTCTCCAATAGCACTTAAAGAATTAGCCATAGAAGTAGAAGCAATTTCTAGATGTGAATGAATAGCCCCCAAAGTTTCCTTTCACAGCGTAATGAACAGCTTGCAACAGAAACAAAGGAGAGATGGAGCAAAAAAAGAAAAAAAAGTTTCTTTCCCCATAAGACAACCAGAAGTATTTAAGACCAGATAAGAAAGTCCAGGAGGATGTGTAAATGCAAGAAAGAAGTTGGAGAGAGATGTAGAGAAGTAAAATGTGTGTGTAAGATGGTCACTCTAAACTATGTTATCAGAAAATAAGGCAGAAAATAAGAGAGCATAGCACATAGATGTCCCTCAAAAGAATGGGGTACAATTACTGATAGCAAAAAGTTATGTGTCCTGACACTTAGGTGTGGCAGTAAGTTTGGTCAAAGAAAGGATCCCTGACAGCTCCAAGAAGGAGACATTCCATGAATAACCAAACCATGTAGATACAAGATGCTCATGAACTTGAGTTCTGTAATAACTTTCTTTGCTTTGTGCATTCTTTTGGTTTTGACTGCAATAAGTAAATTTGTATCCCTTTCAAAGCTTCTATTTCCTATACCTAAAACTATATGTTGCCTTTAAAATATGTATTTATTTTTATTCTATATGTATGTGCATTTTGCACTCGTGTATATGTGTACTGCATACCTGCCTGGTACCCTTAGAGGCCAGAAGAGGATGCCAGATACAATTATAGGTAACTAATTATAGGTAACTAATCATAGGTAACTAATTGTACCTATGTGGGTGCTCGGAACTGAACTAGGGTCCTCTGCAAAAGCATCAAGTGTCCTTAACCACTAAGACACCTCTCCAGACTCTCTATATGTTATCTTATATGGCAAAAATTTTTATGAGCCACAAAACTTACCAAGGTAGATTAGAAAGCTATGATAAAAGAAGAGGGAGGCATATGAGATTTTGTGAAAGCACAGTCACCTTTGTTGGCTTTGAACTTGAGAAGAGAAGGCCATAAACAAGGAATTCAAATCACTACTAGAGGCTAGAAATGGTCCTCACTTGACAGACCACTAAGAAATGAGGAGTCCATTCAGCTCTACAGCCTCAAAGAACGGAATTCTACCAACAGACAAATCAGGAGTGAGCATGACCCATCCACAAAGACCTAAGCTCATTGACAACCAGTAGGAATATATCCCCAAGTGTAACTTCCTCCAAATATGACATTAATCCACGTCTCAGAAGAGAGAGTCTTCAAAACAACTAACCTGGCATTGAAAGTCCTGTCCAGGATTCATTTGTTAATTTTGCCTTGGCTATGTACATTTATCCTATTTAGGTCATTTAAATGAGTACAAAGGAAATACCAAGTCCATTCTAGGTGATTTCTTACCCCAGTCCTGGATCAATAAGAAAGAAAAAAAAAGATGTGCAATTATCAATTATTGCTTTTGTCTAATCTGAAGCTACCCTATCAATTTGTCCATTTGGGAACTGGCTCAACTAAAAATGTATATACTAGTGCTCACGAAGCTAATAGATTTTACAGTTTGCCTCCATACAACAAAGTTAGAAGAGCCTTGGTTCTTGTAGTTACTTTTTGTTTTTTGGAGACAAAGTCTTACTACATAGCTCTAGCTAGCTAGACGTGGCTATGTAGGCCAGCCTGTGCTTGGGCTCACAGATATCTGCATCACTCATTCCTGTTTCACCTGTATCTCTTGCCTCTGCCCCTTGAGTGCTACCGTATCTGGATAGTTAAAATTTCTTAAAGAACAAGTGTCCTTTCCAAAGTGACTCATTTTCATTTTCATTTAAACAGAAACCGCTACAGAGTTTAAAAACTGAAAGTTGGGGCTCTCATTGTATTTCCACTTCAAAATATTGAAGTTAACATCCATTCCAAAAGTGTGTGTTACACTTTGTATCTTCTGTCTGCTTTCATTTTTAAACTGAGACCTCTTGTAATTATGCTGCTTTTGCCATGAGTATCAAAAGATCATTTGATTTTTTTTCTGTTCTATATTTAGCTGGGACACCATACCTAGCTATAAAACACCGTACTTTTAAAGAGGAATTTGGGCAATTATAAAATCTAACCAGATTTATAAAGAATCTAGGAGCTCAAATAAGAAACAGCTCAAATACTGTTCCTTTGTATGGCTAAAACAAAACTGGATATCTTAAAGGAAAGTTTATCTTGGGGCAGTACAGGGTCAGGCAGCTATGTTGTGCTGCATTGTGACAATCAGATGGCAGAGTAAGAACAGTGAATGTGTATGTATGTGCAGAAGAGATACCAAGGTGAGGAGAGGGACTTTATAACAACCTGCTTCTACAGTTCCAGTCCCTGAGACCTAACTCACTCCCATGAGGTGCATATTAATTCTCCCAAGTGTGGCCTCCATGACCAAATTTCCTCCAACCAGTACCCACCTTTAAAGGTTACTCAACTTGTCCTTGACTCAGCAATGTACTTCAAAGTACATGAAAGTCTAATCTTAGGGGCTAGACCACATTGAAAACAGGGCATCAAATAACCAAAGAATGCTCAACCCAAGGAAAGACTTAAGGAAGAGGGAGAGCCTGCTCTCAAATATTGGAAGGAGTAGCTACCTACAGCTGCAAAGATCATACTTAAAATTGTAGTCCAAAAGGCATTGCAGAATAAGAAACTATAAAATATAAAGACATAAGAGCAGCCTGTCTAACTACTAATGCTCTCTTGAAATTGTGTGTCTTGAAACAAACTTTTGTTTCCTCTCAACTCTTTCATGAATTGCTCCTCAACACAAATATTTGAAAACAAGACAAAACATGAGTGAAACTATTGTTTCCAGACATTGGTCACCAGCAACAGAAAAACATAAATGTAACTACGAGCAAAGAAATAGTAACATTATGGTTGGTCACAGCATACAGACTATAGTCAATGGCCACCCTGCTCTAAAGGGGTGGGGATTCCTGATAACCCAAGTTAAGAAAACATAGCTAGAAAGGAATCCTATAAAAACCCCATATGATGTACAGAACACAGATGCCAAAATTAGAAATTGAAATCTAGTAATATATTACAAGTATGTTACATCATGTAAAATAGAGCATATTCTAGGAAGGTAAGAGAATTGAACACTCAAAACCCCAAGGATTGACAGTCATACAAACAGGCTGAAAGAAACCCAATATGGTCCTGTCAATGAATATGGAAAATCCATTTTAACAAAATTAACACCCATTCATAATTTTAAAGAAGAAAGAAAAATGCTCATGAACTGGGAATTCAAGGCAGGAATTTCTCAAATCAACAAAGGACATCCACCAGAATCATACTGATAACATGGTAATGATAAAGGAAAATTGGTCTTGCCTTAAGACCGGGAAGACCAACAAGGATGCATGATTACTGCTTTCATTCAGCGTTGGGCTGGAAAGTTCTAGCCAGCGTGCTAAGACTCAAAGAAAGGCCTACAGATTAGAAAGGAAAGGGGGAAATATCTCTATTGTTAAGGCAAATAATATGATCATGTATGTCGAAAACCCTTTAAAAAACTATTCAACAGCTATTAGAAAGAGTAAGTCAGAGGAACAGAGTCTTATGGTGCAAGGGCAAAAAAAAAAATCAAGGTCAAGTATACTCTATATATTAACAATAAACAAACACTGAGAAAATGAGGTTTTGTTTGTTTGTTCGTTTGTTTTTTAAGAAAGGTTGTCCTGAACTCACAGAGCTCTGCCTGCCTCTGCTTCCCACGTGCTGGGATTACAGGCATGCACTGCCACCATCACTACGAGGCCAGAGAAAAGTTTAAATACAGCTTCTAGGGTCATCAAATAATAATAAAGTTTTGGCTATACATTTGACAAAAAAAATGCGATACCTGGAACTGTGAAACATTCCTATGGACAGAAATTGAAGTAGATCTAATTAAATGGGAGCACACACTGGGTTCATGGAGTAGGAGACAAAATATTATTAAGATACCAGTTTTTTCCAAATTCATTAATGGATTGAAGTAATCTAAATCAAAAGTCTGGAAGGCTCACTAGTAAAAATTAAAGAGACCGACTCTATAAAGATAGAGAGGAATGCGAATAACTCAGAGCTGGTAAATGACTTTGAAAATTAAGAATAAAAGTGTAGTCAGAAGTGGTGATAGAAGGCTATAATCCTAGCAGTCAGGAGATGGAAGCAGGAAGATCGAGTTTAAGGTCAGCCTGGCCTATATGATAAGACCTATATCTCAAAAAAGAAACAAACTGAACAGTTCCGAAAGAATGGTCATAGACTATGTGACATTAATAAAAGGACAGAGATATCAGTCAATGAGGGAAAAAAAGAGCAAAAAAGAAGATAAAAATCAAATGGTTAATTGCTTTTGGTAAAAATAACCAGATAATTCCATGCTGAAAGGGAAATATTTTCAACTATTGATATTGGAATAGTTAGAATTCAGGAGGGAAAATATGATTTACACAAAATAAGATAAACTATAGACTAAATAAAGGAGCTAAAGTTAAGCATTTCTGAAGGAAAAATATCTTTGTATCTTTAGGTTAAGCAAGTATTTTTTCAGTAGAACTCAGTATAAACAGAAAAGTGTAAACAGATATAGTAGACTTCATCAAATTGAAATATTTGTCCACTGACTTTGTCAAGAAAACACAAAGTCACAAACTTGGAGAAAATATAAATATTTCTAAAATAGACATTTGACAAAGGAAGTATATGTATATATAGAGAGAATATACACTTACATGTTACCAACCAGAGACAATCCATCTGCAAAAAACAAGGTACAGTCATGTAGTGAAAAATCACCTAGCCATAGAAACAAATTTCAAAAGCTGTATGCTGAATGAAGGCAAGACAGTGCATTGCGTAATCCTATTCACGTGAGGTCTGAGATAAAGAAAAGCGAAACGAATCAGTGATCGGGAACAACGGGGTGGGATAAAGGCCGTGGTTGAACAGATGCAGAAAGAAACCTACATAATGCTTTCTGTTTTGAGTGTGCCTGGGTTATATACCATAATCACTTGTTAAACTTATTAAATCTTTTTCACGGCTATACCTCCATGAGGATGGTCATTCTTAAATGTGCCCACCCATAGAAGAGAACACCAGTGACAGGAAGTGTTCTGGAAGACTCTATTTGGTAAAGGCTGCATCACAAAACTATCAGGTATTGTTGAGTGGTTCCTATGTTTTCATTGCAGACCCAGGAGAACAACCAGTGCGTTGGAGCCGGAGAGTAGTGCTGGCAATGAGTCAATTAACCTGGAGGAATTTGAATCCCAAATTGCATCAGCAGTAAGTTCATTCAAAGAGCAACTTGGCCTTCTGAGAGCTGGCTGGCTGGAAGTTTCCAACTTTAGCCTATCTGTGCAACCAACACATGATAGTATTTGGTAGCACCATCTGTCTAATCCATCTAGGCATCAACCTTGGGACTGATTTCCTCTCCTCTACCTTCTAAACCCACTTAGATTTTTTTTTTTAAAGGAAACTCTTTCCTGGTCATTAAATGACTGGTAAAACTGAATGTGTTACCCTCATGCTCTTTATTTCAGTAAGGATACCACTATATGAGGGTGGGATTATATCCAACATTAGAACTTAAGATACAGTCATCAAAAGAATATTTTTATCCTGAGGGTGCGAAGAACTCCTTCCTAGCCCGCACTTGTAATTTCTCTCTGAGACCCAAGAGTCTAATGCCTCCTCATATCCTCTTCCCTGTCTGAGGGCTTTCCTGGCTTCTGAAGTTGCTTTTGATCTCTTTCAGAAACCAAATGCGGAGTGAAGGCAGTGAGAGAGTGAGGAAAGGTGAGTAATCTTGACTGCATCTCTGGTGAAACAAGTTTGATTTCCCCAGTGCCCGTAACTTGCACAGGCTTTAACCTGAGATGTTGCGAGACTTACAAATAAAGCTAGTGTGGATGAGGGAGAAAGCAAGGGAGAGCAGGGAGAAAAGTGACTGTAAACGAGCGGCAGTGTCCACTGCACAGTGTGCAAGGGCATGCCGAGTCAGTCAAGGTCAAGAATGGTGTGGTGGTGATACAGCAAGTATAACCTGCGTCTCATTCATCATAGCAACTTCACCTAAAAGTGACTGAACTACAGAGCCCCTGGCATATATAGAATGAATAAAATGAAGAAGCAGGAAGTGACAACATGTTCCCTTCAGCCCCAGTGCCTTTGCACCTGCTGTGCCCATCACTTGAAGCATCTTCTACCATCCCCGCCCCAACTGCCTTGTTCTTTTTTGCAGTTAGCACTTTCTTTAAAACCTTTCCCTAAACTTGCTCACAACCACCTGCAACAGCAATCTGTGGATCCTTGCTTACTTGCCTACAATCACCTTAGGAAACACTATTACTCACTGAACTCTACAGATGGCAGAAACCACAGCAGCTCAAAGCATTGTTGTGCTGCGGACCCCATAAGTCCTTACAGTGCTGGGTATATCACAGGTTTCTGGTGACCAGGCTTCTGACAGCATGACACAATCAGGTTGTCTGTTCCTCCATCCTCACTGAGGAGCTGGGAGCTCCAGAACATCAAGACATTGACCATCTGCTTATGGGATAGGAACTACCTATAGTCAAGAGCCTGACTGGAGGGATAGGTTATAATTCCAGGATGCGGGGACCATAAAGAGCTGGGTACTTACCAGACACTAGCAACAAGGCTCACTCCAGAATTTTGCGTAGAGAGCCACAGTGTTGAGGTGCTACTGATGCTGTAAGACTGTATTCAGAAATTATCTGAAAGAGCAAGCACAGGGAAGGCAGAGAGGAGTCAGCACAATGGCAGAGGACCAGCACCAGGCCAAACAAAGGGTAGTTGCTGAGGGAAGTTTGGGTAACAGTTTAGTCTGGCTGGCTTTCCCCGGCTTTCTCTTCCTGTCTTGTAATACTTTGTTTCTGTTTATCAACATTACTGTGGTCTCCTTACTTGTGTCTTATCTTTGAAATCTACCAAAAGAAGGCCGCCCTATTGTGAAATCTCACCCACTCTCTCCTCCTCTTTGGTTTTTTTTTTTTTTTTTTTCAGAGTTAAAATCTGTGTGCCTGAAATAAGAAGCCCAGGATTGTTCACTATCTGAAAACATCCTCAGATGACTGGAACGATACACTTGATTAATTAAAGAACAAAATCCACAATAATGTCCATATTTTATCCTGTTTTCTTTCTAAGTTTTTGGACAACCTCGTTGATTTCCCAGAAGATAAGAGAATACAATTATTAGGTTAGATGATGCTCTGAGACTCCGTGAAGATAAAATAGTCCCCTATGATACCAGCTCTGTCCCCTCTCCCAGGAGCAGACACTAACTCTGTCTTGCTTGTTTAGCTCAGTACACACTCATAGGTCAAGTGCACTGAAATGGCTTCTTTCTCAGGAATAACATTTTGGATCAATCTCTCCTGCTTTAGATCAGATTCCTCTCTTAATTTTGCTAGTGTGTTTTTATATGGAACTCCTTGTTGTAGGAATATTGGCTTTTATTTGTCATGTATACTTGCATATACAAGTTTACTTGTATACTTGTACCTGGACAACTACCTCTTCAGTCAGGATGGAAGTGGTGTATCTTATGATGTTATTTGATGTATTCGTGTTAATACCTTAAAATAGCAGAGTGTGTACTGTAGTAGTACAACTACAATGATCTAGAGAAAGACCCAGCACTTATGAGGGACACTTCCCCCTCCGTCAGGACCAGTAATGGATACGATGACCTAGGTGACATACAGGTGACAGCTCGGATTCTCAGTGCTGGGAAATCGAGAAATACAGATATGGAACCATCTCTGGATCCAGGAGCCACTCCTACCTGGGCTGCCACAGATACTGGGAGAATCCACCTGCCCAGCAAGTCACAAGTTTTAGCAGGCAGCACTGAAGAAAGCAAGACGTACTATATGTCTTATTTCTCCTTTTGAGAAGACGCTGGGGATGCTCTGGAGACAGCTGTGCAAGGACCAGCCAAACCCTCAGAACCAGGGATAGCAATAGAATCCAACCAGCAAATGTTTATGGAAGGACTGATCAGCCCAGTCCTTTGAAAAGTCAAGAAGCCAGAGATAGACTGGTGTGTGTCAATGGATGCAGACATCAGCCACCTCGGTGCTCAACAGCTGTTTTATGATCTCTGTCTTTCAAATTCATCTGTGATGTAGAACTAGGGAGAGAGCAGTCACATTGATGAAAGGCAGGAATGAAGGCTAGGACTCTTTCAGCTCATGACTTGTGTGGAAGGAGGAAAAGCAGAAATCACAACACTCTGAGACTACCTTAGTCTGTAGATACCTGAGTGGGTGTGGCTTGGCCCTTCAAAGAAGGACAAAGAGCAACTGATGCCGAAAGCACATAGTGTGTCTATAAGGCATGGTGTAGTCACCACCCAAACTTAAAGAGAACTTTAGCAGGTCTGAGCACCAAGACGTGGTTCTTTACATTTAGCATAAAGGGCCCTGGAGGGCTGTAGACTGTTCTGCTGCCAGGGCTCATGCTTGTAGTGTTTCCATGTATACATCTTGATCCAGCATGTGCAGACACTTAGGATTTGGCCACTTACTAACATGTTCTGGACAGAGTGTATTTCAATAAAGTTTTCTTGAAATTTTTCATGTCAGTAGTAAATTTATGGGATAATGTTCCTACTTATTTCTCATATCTCTGTGGCTAAAAGTCTCTGACTCCTCCCAAATCTCTCTCTCTCTCTCTCTCTCTCTCTCTCTCTCTCTCTCTCTCTCTCCCTCCCTCCCTCTCTCTCTTTCTTCTCTATCTACTGTATAAGAAATGAGGCTTGTGTTTGTCTAAATATATATATCTCAATAGTGAGACACTTCTAAAAGTTGAGTAAAACTTACTTTCTGAGTGCTAGCAGGAACCTGAGACTAAGGAAACAACGTTTCTTAGCTTGTTACTTTTCAAGCTGAGCAATTTTTAAATTATGTACATATATATATATGAGAAGCTTAATGCAAGACGATTTCCTGAAAATGCACCTTTGATAAGTTATAATCTAAAAATATATGTCATGCAAAAATAACATGAGAAAATCTAACAGTATTCTGGGACAGGGAACCTGTCTGGACTATGGGAGACAGAGCTGTGTTTTAGTTCTTCACCAGAATAACCCAGGTACTGAAGTTGGTGCCTCAAAATACATTTATTTGAAAATGGATGAAACATTAACATGCCCTTTAGTGAAAACATCTCCTCCTTTGCATATTAAAATTTCTAGACTTCTTGGGCTTTAAGTCTGAGGGCTAAGAAAAGCAAAAGAGAGTTCCAACAGGCCACCCGGTAGCACACTAGCTAACACTGCCTCTTTGTCATGGGCTCGGCTCTGTGATATTACAGTTCTACCCAGTCATCCCAATGACTCTGTGTGATATTACTGTTCTACCCAGTCCTCCCAAGGACTCTGAGTTGTAGCTCATGAAGCATTGTGCCCATTTTGCTCATGGATAAATCTAAGCAGAGAGATGTCAGAGGACTTCCGTTTCTATTGTGGACCCTCTTGCTTATTTCCTACCCACGCCCACTCCCCACCCCCTGCCCCATGCACAGACACCCCACTTTCAATTCTCTCAGGGCATAGAAGAAACAGCATTTTGCTGGCCCAGGTTGACTGCTTAAGTCCACATCCTGTGCTACCCACTCCCAGTCCCAGAGGTGGTGACTGTGGAGTCAGAGGCTGTGGCTAAGGAGGCACGGGAGGAGACGAGTGTGAGGAGATTCAGTCATGGCAAAAGTGAAACAAAGAGGAGTCAGCACATCATATTCATTACTGATACTGATGGCTTTCCGCTGCTCCCTCTGCCTGCCGTTTGTTGTCCTCCATTTGATATCCTCCCTTCTCCCCCTCTGCCTTCTGAGACAGTCTCACCCATGCCCTCTTCTCACATTTTCTAACCTAAGCCTGAAAGCCAAGAGTCGTCTTTGACACCAACCCTCTGACATTCCCTCAGAACCTACTTCAAGACCAACCCTCCTTCCAGCTCATTTGGGGAAAGCATGGGCCCCGCCCCTGTCTACTCATTCCAACTAATCAGTCTTCCTCTCTCACTGTACTCTAACCAAAATGACCAAAGAAATGGAGTTATCCCTCTCATTCCTTTTTCCCTAGACATGTCACACTGATGTTACAAACATTTCCATAGACACACTCAATCTTATCTATCTGTCATTTATCTAGCTATCTATCATCTATCTATCTATTCATCTACTTACCTATATATCTATCTACTTGCCTATGTATGTATGTATGTATGTATGTATGTATGTATGTATCTACTTACCTATGTATCAATAAACCTATCTATGTACCGACCTACATCTATCTATCTATCTATCTATCTATCTATCTATCTATCATCTATCTATCTGTCTGACTATCCACACATGTGCAGCCTTTATTCAGGCAGATCATTCTTGCTAAGATGATTAAGAAAAGGATTGGTCTCACATGTGACCTGACAGCAGCTTTGGTGTGGTTGCCTGTGCAAAATTTCAGTATGTATGGGGAGGACCAAGTTGAGGAGAAAAAGTTGCTTTTCTTTGTTGGGGCTGACCATTGGTAGGTTTCTCATGTCCCATTGAATGTTTCCACATCCATGTGTATATAAGGAACATTAGACTCGGTGTGTTAAAAATAAATATTTAAGCAAATAAAATCAAAAGACAAATGACAACAAAACTACCAAGATAATATAATCTCCTGATTCAAACAGATCTGGGTTTGAATCTAAATCATCTTGGATAAATTACTTAACTTATTCATCTATAAAATGGAATAATGGCAAAACCCTGTACATTTTTATTGTATCCTTGTTCAATTTTACCAATATTGTTAGTGTAATGCTTAGTTTCAGCTACCAACTTAATGTGACCTAGAGTCACCTGGGTAAAGTCTGAATAAAAGTCTCCACATTTTCGAGGTGGCCTATGGGTGTGTCTGTGGATGACTGTCTTGAGTTAATTGCTATGTGAAGACCTATACCACCATGGGCAGCACTAGTTCCTAGGCAGAAACTTCTGAACTGTATAAGAGTGGAGAAGCCTAGTTGAGCAAAAGCAAACCATCAGGCAGGTAAGCATGCATGGATTCATTTCTCCCTGCTCTTGACTGTAAGTGTGATCTGACTGTTTTAAGCCTCTACCTTGACTTCCCTACAGTAATGAGCTATAACTTAGAGTTGTAAGCTAAAATAATCCCCTTATCCCATCATTTTCTTTGTGTCAGAGTATTTTATCACAGCAACACAAATGAAACTAGAATAGTTAGAATTTTAAGTGAAGCTCCTTGGGCTTACTCAATGTTGATGTTTTCTCCCCAGGAGATAAAAAATGTGGACTCCCATGCTGTTCCTAGACACATTTCTAAGCCTTCAGTCTTATATCCAATGTCATCAACAATATGACTTTAAATCTAATTTTTTTTTTACCAATCTCATTTTCCCTTCTCATTCTATTAGGAAATTATGATGCTACTAGATTATATTATATTATCTGAACCATCAACTACCTAGTTATCCCTTTGACTGATATACTTCTTACCATCTGCCTCTGTTCATTACAGTCTTATTCATTTGTGGTATATGCACGTGTGAGTGCATGCATGCATGCTTGTGTGTATGTGTGTGTGTGTGTGTGTGTGTGTGTATGCGTGAGTCTATGTGTTCAGACAGTGTCTCTCACTAGGAGTTGAGGTTCATTCGTTTGGCTAAGCTGGATGTCCAGGGAGCCCCAGGATCCTCCTGTCTCCACCTTATCCGTACTGAGATGATATGCATCTAGCTGCTGGGACTGTCCTACCACTTTTGTATGAAGGTTCTGGGGATCCAAACTCAGGCCTTCAACCTACACAGCAAACACTTTACTTATCTACTGAGATATCTTTCCAGCCTTCTGTTTTGCTCATTTTTAAAACAAGCTAGTACACAACAAATTCTATCAGATCGCATACTACACTACCGGCAAGACTGTGTATAGTTGATACCAGGTCCTTGAGTCACAGTCTGTCTCCACCGAGAGTGTTCAGTTTCTGTCTCAGTGCTCACCTTTTCCACGTGGATTCTTGACTCTGTCCATCAGCTGATATTTAGAAGAGCTTCACACTTCTGAGGAAGCACAAGAACCCTCAACAAGTGAGCAAATTGTGTAGGGCACAGAAGCCACCCTAAAGCTCTTGATCTAGGGTACCTCATATTCTATATTCTAACCTTTCTTCCGCCATCTTGACTTCTGACCTCTACTTGCCGTTATCACTTGAACCTGATCACTAGCTCCTCCTTGATTTCTATCCTCATTTGCTTTCTGTGACTATAATAAAACCTGGACCAAAAGGGTTTATTTGGCTTACAGGCTACAGTTTATCCACAAGGGAAGTGAAGGTAGTAACGCAACACAAGAAATCTGGGGGCAAGACTAAAGCAAAGAGCACATAGAGATGCTGTTTGCATCCAGCTGTCTTTTCTCTATATCCCAGGGCCACCTAAATATGACCTGGATTTATGACTCTGAAAAAAACTGCTCTGATCAAACAGGGCAGTCATCTCAGGGGGATGAGTATTCACACCAGTATTCACACCAGTCCTGCTCTTCCCAGCCAGTAATCTCATCAGGATAATAGAATAGATAACCTTCTACTCAGGTGGAAAAACTGTATTGTGTATCTACCACTCCATTTTGGTAAAATGTTAACTAAAGAAAAAAAAAGACTTCCATATCATGGTATCATATATTTTTAGGATTCAAAAAGGAGAGTCCAGTTGTGCTTTGTTCTCTCAGGAGATGTTGGCAAGGCACTACAGGGATTGAGAAACAGGGTCTAGAGAGAAAAGACACAAAAGCAAATATTCAGAGATAGCCATGCACGAGGATATGTGTAGTTTGGCAAGGGTGAAACAGAAAAGAAAAACCACCTGTTTACAGCAAGATTTCTGGACCTGACTGGACTGGTTTGCAGCTCCTTTTAAAGACAGTCACTTCTGATGTTCCCTGTGAATCTTTAAGAAGGTATTTTCTTGTGATCAGTGCATTGAAGATAAAAGGTATGAATGATGAAGGAGACAGAAAAGAGAGCCAAATTAATAGGATTTGTATATTACGAATCAATACTTAAGAATTCCCACTTTTCTGGGTTCGAGGCCAGTCTGGTCTACCGAGTGAGTTCCAGGACAGCCAGGGCTACACAGAGAAACCCTGTCTCAAAAAACCAAAAAAAAAAAAAAAAAAAAAAAAAAAAAAAAGAATTAAGAATTCCCACTTTTCAAAGTGCTTCCTATTCATCTACAATTTCAATTACAGTAATTGATAAATTCTTACTAGCATCTGTGAAAACTCATATCCAATACACCTTCTAGCATTCTTAAGACTCTATACATGAAGTATCTAATTCAGAATGCTAAGGTTGAGGTAACCATAGACACTGTGTTTACTAATGATGTTTCCAGGATAAACAAAATTCCTCACTTCAGAACCACCTCCATCTTCCCTATTTATATACACACAAACACAATGGAGTATTTTTATAAACCAGTGCTACATAATAAAAATTATTATGTTATTATTATGAAAACATTCCTTTAAAAAATAGACATGATCTTGGTTTAGAACA